ACTGTGCAACCTTCATTCTGGGATTCTTAAAGCAACACTGTATGAACTGTAGGATCTCCATAAGCTCTCCAAGGTTGTAAGTCTTCAAGGTTGTAAGTCTTTATGGAAACAGATGCCTTGTTTTTTCTCCCATGGAGTGGATCTTGGGATTGACCCCTGGTCGCTATGAGCTGCAGGCATCTCAACGGCACATAACAACAACAACAACTAAATGTTTTAACCACTGTGCCATCAAATCTTGTTTTTGTTGTGTTTGCTGTCACCTTGGAACTAACCCATAGCTGACCCTCTAGTGAGTTTTCAGAGACAGTAAACAGGGTTTTTAGAGGCAGTAGATCCTATGGGAAGAGATTTCCCATCCTATCAGCTGGTGGATTTGAACTGACAGCCTTTAGAATTACAGTGCAGCTTCTTAATCACTGGCCACTAGAAAGGAAATCCACTGCAGGTGAGTTGATTTTAACTCTTTGTGACCGTCATGTCTTCAGAGAAGAGGCCATCTGTCTTCCTCAGCAGATGGTTGGATTTGAACCACTAACCTTTAACAGCGAGTGCCTTACAAAGGTGGGAGGAACCTAAATTATTGCAAAGCCTTTTGTGAATTCTTGCCTGTTCATTGGTAGATTAGATGCATTGTTTTCATATTAGGGTTCAGGGGAATAAGCACTGCTGCTGTTAAGGGGGAAAACATGGCCCTAAACGCATCACTCTTTGACCTCCACAACCCTCCTCTTCCTAAACTGAAGCTCAGTAAAAGCTCATTACCATCAAGTCAGACCCAGCTCCTAGCTGACCCTCCAGTGGATTTTGGAGGCTGTAAATCACTCGGGAGAAGAAGTGCCTGCCCTGCTCCTCAAGAGCAGCTGGTGGATTCACGACACCAGAGAGATGCCGCCTCGGGGTTGACAGTGCAGCTCTCGGCTGTGCTGTCAGAACTTCCTGACCTAAACTGGAAGTACCAGACCCACTGCCATTGAGTCACTTCCCACCCATGGACCCTCCACTGGGTTCCAAGGCTGTATTTCTTTATAGGAAGGTCCTGCCCATCTTTCTGTTGAATTTGAACTGTCGTCCGTTCAGTTAACAGCATTAACACACATCATACACAAAGCTGCTGTTGTTACATGCCCTTGAGTCACTTGGGACTCTTAGCAACCCTTATGCACAGTAACTCTGAACCCTGTCCAATCCTGAGCCAGTCTCACTGTCTCTGACACACCTGCCCCCATTACTCCAGTCACTGTATCAAGCCATCTCAACCATAGTCTTCCTCTCCTGCATTGTCCTTCTATCCTTCCAAGCATGTCTTTCTCCAAGGACTAGTCCTTCCTGGCCATGTGCCCACAGTGTGAGATGGAGCTTCAGAATTGTTGCCTCCAGAAAGCAAACTTGGTTTCACCCTTTCCAGGACAGACCTGTTTGTTCTCTTGGAAAATCATGGTATGTTCAAGACTCTTCTCCAGCACCACATCTCAAAGGCATCAATTCTTCTGTCATCTTTAGTCATTGTACAGCTCTCTGACACATAGCGAGTAATTGTGAAGACTCTGGCTTGGATCAGATGTACTTTCCTAATTCAATTCGTCTTTTGATTTTCTGGCTTCTGGTACCAAGAGTGTTGATTGTGGACCTGAGCAAGCTGAAATTGTTAATAATCTCAATCTCTTCTCCACGTGTCATGGTGCTGCCAATCAGTCCATTGGTGAGAATCTTCGTTTTCTTGATGTTGAGCATCAATCCATATTGAAAACTGCAGTCCTTGACCTTCTCCGGCAGATCTTTCAGATCCTTCACAGTTTGAGTGAGCAAGGTTATGTTATTTGTATAGCGGAAGCTGATGAGTCTTCTTCCTTCAATTCTGATGCCACATTCCTCCTCATTAAGCCCAGATTCTTGACTGATCTGTACTGCATGTAGATTAAAAAGGTATGGAGGCAGGACGCATCCCTGATACATTCCTTTCCCAATTTTGAACCATGCAGTGTTTCCTTGCTCTGTTTTGAGCACTGCTTCCTGGTCCAAGTATAGGTTTTACATGAGCACAGTCTACTGCAGATGGATTTTCATTCTTTTCAAAGTTAGCCACAATTTGTTGGGATCCACTTTCAAATGTTTTTGCATAGTCAATGAGACACAGATGGACATTTTTCTGATATTCTCTACTTTTAGCCAAGTTCCATCTGACGTTCGCTATGATGTCCCTAATTCCATGGCCTCTTCCAAACCCAGCCTGTACATCTGGTAGTTCTCTGTTGATGCGCTCTTCCAGTTGTTTCTGGATAATCTTCAGCAGGATTTTGCTTGTATGTGGTATTAGTGATACTGTTTGGTGATTTCCACACTCTGTTGAATCACTCTTTTGGAAATAAATATGGATCTCTTCCAGAGAGCTGTCCTCCAGATATCTTGGCACAATTTGATGAGCACGTCCAGGGTATCATTTGTTTGCTGAAATGTTTCAGTTGGTGCTCTATCAATTCCTAGGGCCTCGTTTTTTGCCAGTTCCTTCAGAGCAACTTGAACTTCTTTCTTCATCACCATTGCCTCTTGGTCATATGCTGTTTCATTAAATTCTGTGTCAGCCAATTCTTTTTGGTATAGTGACTCCATATACTCTTCTGTCTTTTGATGCATTCTGGGTTATTCAGCATTCTGCCCGTAGCATCTTTAAGTATTGCAACTTGAGGCCTAAATTTGTTCTTCAGTTCCTTTAGCTTAAGAAATGCTGAGTGAGCTCATTCCTTTTGATTCTCTGACTCCAGCTCTTTATACATTTTATTATAATACTTTGTTTTCTCTTTCCAAGTTGCCCTTTGAAATCTTCTGTTCAGCTCCTTACCTTCTTGATTTCTTCTCTTTGCTTTGTCTTCTCATCATTCCAGTGCAATATTCAGAGTTTCTTCTGGCTCCATCTCAGTCTTTTCTTCCTCCTCTGTCTTTGTAATGACTTTTTGCATTCTTCTTGGATGATATTCTTTATATCCTTCTTCTCCCTATCTGGTTTTCATTCATTAATGTCCAAGGCCTCAAACCCCTTTTTAAGATGATTTTTAAATTCAGGTAGAGTAGACTCCAAGTCAAATTTTAGTTCTTGTGAATTTGATTTCATTTTCTTTAGCTTCATTTTGAGCTTGCATATGAGTAGTTGGTGGTCTGTTCCACAATCAGCAACTGGCTTAGTTTGCACCACTGATAATGAACTTCTCCAGTGATGCTTTCCACAGATGTGGAAATCTGAATCCTGTGTTGACCATCAGGTGAGGTCCATGTGTATAGCTAATTGTTTGTGTTTCTTATAAAAGGTACTTGGAACTAATAAATAATTGACAGTACAAAATTCCGTCATTATATCTCCATCCTCATTTCTGTTACCAAGACTGTGTTTTCCAACTACTGATCCTTCCTTGTTTCCAACTTTTGCATTCCAGTCACCTATTATTATTAATGCATCTTGGTTACATATTCAGTCAATTTCCAACTGCAGAAGTTGGTAGAAAGCTTCTATTTCCTCCTCTTTGGCTCTGTTTGGTGCATATATTTGAATGATACTGGAATTAACAGGTCTTCCTTGTATATGTGTAGATATTATCCTGTCACTCACAACATTGTATTTCATGATGGATCTAGAAATGGTCTTCACTATGAAAATGACCTCGTTTTTCCTCACCTTTTCATCTCCAGTATAAATAGATCATATGCTTGGTTATCTGATTGAAAATGCCCCAAGCCAATGCATTTCAATTCTGGTGGCCTAGTGACAAGAAGCTGTGCTGCAATCTCAAAGGTTCACTGTTCGAGGCCACTAAATGCTCCGCAGGAGAAGGATGGGCAATCTCCCTCCGTGTGTTTACTGCCTCTGAAAACCAGTGAAGGGTCAGCTACACAACAGCAACATTTCTTTCTTAACAATGTCCAGTATTCTTACATGTGTGCTTCTCACATTCCACGTTCCAATCATTAATGTCTGCTTGCAACTGTTCCTCTTCCTTTGTCTTTCTGAATATGAGTCCTTGGCCTCCAGTGCCATATCTGCTAGGCGAATCTAATTGTGCTCTATCGTGCATAGAGTTATTTGGGAAATGGGTGGCTAATTCTTCTTCCTCATCTGTTTTACTTTGGCTGCCTATCTTGAGAGCATATCTGAGAGATAGGCGTTCTACCCAAAACAGCAGATGAAAGGTCTTTCCCCATTACACAGCTAACAGATTCAGTGTTGCCCAGCCCCCTTTGTCACAGCTGTTGTTGTGGTCCTGTCCCCCCACTCTCTGCCCTACTAGCATCCAGATCCATTTCTTTGTCTTACCCCACCAGCACCTCTCTTCTCATACCCCCACCTCTCAGCTAACCCGATAGGCTGTCTCAGGTCCCTGGTCACTTCTGTCTGCTCACTGTCACTCTGCTCTCCGGGGACATTGACATGCTGTGTAGGTTGTCTGGGCGGCTGGACAGATTGTCAGAGCTGGTGGGCAGGTTCCCTGGGGACAAGACCTTTGGGGTCAGGGGTCCTGGGGTTCCTACTCCTAGAGGCCAGGGCAGGGCCACTGGGGTTTCTTCAGTAGGAAAGAGGAAGTGGCTGTGAGTGAGGGGAGAGTCCTGCGGCCGGAGGGCTTGCTCAGAGTGGACTTCTCTTGTGGATGTAGATGCTCTAAGTTGCCCAATGGAGCAGAGATCTCTTCACCAACAGGGACAAGCTGGTTCCCTCAGAGTACTGGTTTGATAGGGATGGACAAATCAGAAACTGCCTATCCAGAATGGGGACACTAAGGCGCAAGGCGTAAATTAGCTGCCTTATGCACTTTCACAAATGTAATTATGACTAAGATGATTGTGGGGAGGAAGCTCACTCTCTATACAAATGATAAAGTGGATGAAGGATTGGGTGGACCACGGTGTGCGTGCATGGAGCACAATATATATGAACAATAAAAATACTGATTTACAGACAGCGGTAACACATGATGGCAGCCTTTTCTTATTGCCCCGTAGGTCCAGGCCGCAGCATGGCAGCCCGTCTGATGAGGACAGTGGCCGTTTCCATCCTGCACCCTTTCCTCCATCTCCATCGCTGTCCAGCCCCGTCCCGCGGCCTCTCTGCCCTCCTGCCAGGACCCCTCCGGAACGCATTTCTGCCTGACATGGGGCTCCTGAAGCCCCGGTGGGCAGTGCAGCCGCTTCTCTCGGACTGTCCGACACCAGCCCTGCAGCCTGCCCTGGGCTTCAAGACAAAGGGCGCCATCAAGAAACGCTGCAAGGACTGCTACCTGGTGAAGAGGCGAGGCCGCTGGTTCGTCTACTGCAAGACAAACCCGAAGCACAAGCAGAGGCAGATGTAGCCGCCTTGGCTCCAGAGCGCTGTGCAAAATGATTTCCCTCCTACTGGGGAAGACGGCTTGACCTTTTCACTAAAGGAAAATAAAAGGGAAACATTTTATAATCTTAAGGTCTGTGGACTGGACCATTTGACCTCCTTCCCAACCATCTCCTCTCTATATAAATCTCTTGTTGTTCTTGTGTGCTGTAGAGTCAGACCAACCCCTAGCTGACCCTCCAGTGGGTTTTCAGGGGCAGTTAATCACACGGGAAGAGATTGTCCATCCTTCTCTTGTGGAGCAGCTGGTGGCCTCAAACCGTGTGCCTTCAGGATTACAGCGCAGCTCTCTTGTCACTGAGCCACCGGAGCTCCCCTATATAAATCTAAGTCCAGTGAAATGAGAACCCTGCGTGGGCAACAGCTTGTTTTTATCTGTCTTTCTTGCAAGCTGCCTGTGCTTGGGCTGGAGGGCAGAGACAAGAATGGTGGGAAAAGCCAGTTTTAGTCCATGAGGTCAAAGTACGAGTTGCCAAGACCTGGCAGCATAGTCCCTAGACAGTTGCCCTAACCCAAAGGCCAGGTCTCTGGCAGTTAAGATCCACCAGCAGTCTCCTCCCTCTTTATTTACAGCCTCTGAAAAGATGGCAGAGCATCAGCTATGAGGAGATTCCAACTCACCTGCAGTGAGAGAGAAGAAACAGACACATTACCATTGTTGTTTGCCTATCAACTCGGAACTGACTCATAGCTGACCTTCCAGCTGGTTTTTAGAGGCAGCAAGTCGCACAAGAGAAGATTGCCCGTCTCATTCCCGCAGAGCAGGTGGTAGATTTGAACCGTGTGCCTTCCGTATTGCCGTGCAGCTTCTTATCACTTGACCAGCAGAGCTAGAGTTCCACTGTGAGCATTGAGTTTATTCCATGCATATAAATCGGTACCAAAGCCGACTGCATCATCTTCCTCCCATGGTTTAACTAGTGGAATTGAACTATGGTTCTTTCAGTTAACAGTCCAGTGTGTGAGTGTGGATAGAACTAAATTCAGCCTGACAGGCATTCTGAGGGAAGCTCCCAGCCCTTTGTTGGTGTTCAGAGGTACTGTTCCTCTGTGTGTGAATTTAAGCTGATCTCAGCATTTCAGTCCTAAAGAGCATTAAAGGCCTTGATGGCAATCTTTTAACTCAAGGGACATGTAATTAATTTATATAGAAAAGTAGATTGGATATCAATCTGCCTTTCCCTGCATGATGTTAACCTCCAAGGACTGGTTTCCTCCTGAAAATATACTCAGAGTAAACAAGACGAGGTTTTACCTTCCGTGCCTCTCAGGAACACACTGGCTTCCCTTCCTTCCAGACAGATTTGGGGGTTTTTTTTGCAGCCAGCTTCAAAGGCATTGATTCTTGTGTCTTCTTTTTGGTGTCCAGTTTTCAGTGCTTAAACACAATTAGGGAGAAAGACGGGCAATCTCCTTCCGTTCAGTTAAAAGCCTCTGAAAACCCGCTGGAGGGTCAGCCGTGGGTCAGTTCCCATTCGGCGGTACACAACAACAACAACAAATGGCCTAGTGGCGAGGAACTGCACGGCCAACCCCAAGGCATGCCGTTCAAGTTTGCCAGTGCTTCTGCCAGAGAAAAATGGGCGGTTTCCCTCCATGTGAGTCACTGTCTTAAAACTCACTGGAGAGTCATCTATGGGTTGCTTCCAACTCGATGGTGCGTGACGACAACAACAGGAAACAATTGAAAATACCGTGGCTTGGACCAGGTGCACGTTAGTCTTCTCATAGCTCTTCAGCACTGTGGAGAGATCCCTGAGAGTCGATTTCCCCAGGGCGACCTATCTTGATTTCTCGACTGCTGGTATTGTGAGTGTTGATGGTGAAACCCAGTGAAATGAAATCATTGACAAGCTCAGTCTTTTCCCATCCATCGTGATGTTGCCCATTGACCCAGTGGTAAGAATATTTGTTTTCTTGATGTCAAGATATACCCCATGTTGAAGGCTGTAGTCTTTGATCTTTTGCAAGAAGTGCTTCAGAGCTTCTTCACTTGGTGCAAGCAAGATTGTACCATCTGTAGAATGCAGATTATTGAGGAGTCTTCCTCCAATATAGATGCTACATTCCTCTTTTTATTGTTCAGATTCTTGAGTGACTCACTCAGCCTACAGACTGAACAGGTACAGAGCAAGCTGCAATTCTGACACACACCTTTCTGTATTTCAAACTCCTCAGTGTTCCCTTGTTCTGTCCTGACGACTGTTCCTTGGTCTTGGGAAAGGTAAAGAGAGGGTCAACAAAAGAGAGAAAGACCGTCGGCAGGATGATGCAGGCTATTCTGATTCTTTAGCTCTCCTAGCCTGACAGTAACGTACCTGTACCTGTGAGTCTTTTGACTTGATGGCACCTAACAACAGCATGCCATTCTGGGGCTGATATAGCAGAGTAATAACTCTTACCACAGCAAGAAGATGGCACTCAGAGTTTGGTAGTTGTTTTTTACCCAAAAAGGATGAATAGCAAAATAAAATACTGGTTTCTCTGCAAAATAATCTGCAGTGCCACTGAAGGAAGTGTTACATGCCCCAGTGTTTTGGGCAACACTGCTGTTTGTTGACATTGCAAACCCATAATCTGGTTCTTTGCTCTCTTTGATACCACTTTGTCAAGTGTGTCTTTCCGTGGCTTGCTGAGGAAGTGAATCTCTGTTTAGTCTGGCACCATTCTTGAACCATTCCAAACTACAAGTTAGCCATCGTCTTGTCATGCTATCAGATAATCTGGATGTGTCTTCTATGAAAACAATGTTTTGTTGAAGAGAAGTTGCCAGAATACACCCTTTCCAGAGAGTTGTGGACATAGGAACACTGTCAGGGTGGGAAGGAGCCCTAGGGTTGCAGTGCAGTCTCTAGTGTTAACTGAAAGGTGGGCTGTTCAAATCCACCAGCTGCTCTGTGTGAGAATGATGGACAGCAATCTTTTGCAAAGATTTACAGCTTTGGAAGCCCAAGGAGAGGTCACGAGAGTAGGAACTGACTGAATGCCAGGGCTGTATTTTTGTTTTGTTTTGTAAATGTCGTCAGGATGTTGAGTGTGAGTGATTGCGTGTGAAAATTTGGAGAAGAGTGAGATTTCTGAAGCCCAGCAGGGGTGTTCTACTGTCCTCTTTATTTTGGCTTGTTTGACCCTGGTTGAGTCAGGACGTGGTGACTCCTGTAGGAAGACAGAAGTGGACAGGTGCAGCAAGGGGAACCTGCAGGTTCGTATGTAATGAGAGGGTATTAGGCAACAGTAGACAGTCCTCTCTCCATACCTTTTCAACCTGTACGCAGAACAGATTATCTGGGAGGCTGGGCTCTATGAGGAGAAATGTGGGGTCAAGACTGGTGGAAGATCTATCAACAATCTGCAATATGCGATGATACAACCCTGCTTGCTGAAACTGAGGAGGACCTGAAGCGCTTGCTGCAGAGGGTCAAGGACTGCAGCCTTCAATATGGATTGAGGCTCAATGTCAAGAAGACAAAGATTCTCACCACTGGACCAATTGGCAGCATCAGGATGGATGGTGAAGAGATTGAGATTGTTCACAGCTTCAGTTTGCTTGGCTCCACAGTCAACACTCTTGGCACCAGTAGCCAGGAAATTAAAAGACGTATTGCCATGGGAAAGTCTGCTGTTAGGAACCTCTCCAAAGTACTGAAGAGCATTGGTGTCTCTTTGGAGACTAAGTTGTGTCTGATACAGGCCATGGTCTTTGCAATTACTTGTTACGCATCAAAGAGTTGGACAATGACTAAGGAGGATAGGAGGAGAATTGATGCCTTTGAGCTGTGGTGCTGGAGAAGAGTATTGAGGGTACCATGGACTGCTAGGAAAACAAACAGATTCATCCTAGAAAGTGTCAAACTGGGCTGCTCCTTGGAGGCAAGGATTCTAAGGCTCCATCTGACATACTTTGGGCATGTTGCAAGGAGGGACAGATCCTTGGAGAGGGACATCATGCTTGGTAGGGTGGAGGGACAGCGCAGAAGGGGAAGGCCCCTATGAGGTGGATTGATTCTGTGACTGGGGTAATCGGGATGGGTGTATCGGAGACAATGTGATTGGCACAGGACAGAGCAGAGTTTAGGGATGTTGTACATAGGATCGCTATGAGTTGCAAGTGACTCAATGGCACATAAGTTGCAAGTGACTCGATGGCACATAACAACAACAACTACAGATAGTCCAAGAGACGAGATGACAGGGACTTGTCAGCGTAAGACATAGAGACATTAGTACACACACATATACACAGACAAGCACACGTAGGAGGAACCCAGAGGAAGCAGAGTGGCACTAGGCAGTTGCAGGGTTTCCAGGACTGGGTAGAGACTCCCAGGCAGCAGAGTTGCAGCTCCTAACGCCCCAGCCACTCTGCAGGGCAATGTAAAGGCCATTTGTTTCCCAAAAGATTTATAGGCTTAGAAACCCTCTGTTGAAATTAGAAATTCTCTGTTGCTGCGACTCAGAATCCATTTGATCGCAGTGGCTTTAGTACATACGGTGGGCTTCAGGAAAGAGCAGTCCCTGGAGAGTGATGTCATGCTCGGTAAAGTTGTCATTAGGTGCCATTGAGTTAACTGTGAGCAGCAGATCAAAAAGTCTTGCTGAGTCTGGTGCTGTCCTCATCTCTGTGTGGAAAGCCTTTGTTGCATTCAAGCCAATCTGATAAAGCAGAAGGTCATTGAAAGAGCGAATGCCCTCTGTGTCTTTCTAGTCTAGCTTGGTCTGGAAGCTCCCCTGAAACCTTTCCTCCGTGTGTCACCATGTGGGTATTTGAAGTACCAGTGGTATATTTTACAGTGCAATAAATAAGCAGACTTACATGCTGGGAAGATGTAGGTGTTTCTTGAGTGTTACCTTGTTTTCAGGTCTCAGGTAAAGGGGACTGATCATTCTACTCAAATGATCAGCAGGGATTTGAACTAAGGAGAAGATGACCCCAATGCTTTACTCTCCAGGCCTTCTTTTACTCCC